AAAATATGATAAGTAAAAATGCTCGTCGGATTCAAGAGGTCTTTAGTGAGATACAGGGGATCAGCTGCCAGCCATTGAAGGCAGGATTTTTTGTCTTCCCCCGTCTACACTTACCTCCAAGAGCAATAAAATTGGCCAAGGTGAGAATCTGTGTATTACAACAATTTGTGAATGACACTAAATTAAAAGTACTACTGTTGTTGAATAATAAGTAACTACAGAGGACATACAGTAAATATCAACACCAATCGGTATTTCAAATCCTGGAAACAACTGCCATTTAGCCTATTTCATCATTCAGTCTAAAAGTCAGCATCCCTACATGACAGGAAAAAAAAAACATAATCTGATTGCTCATAAATGTTATACAAACAAATCTTGCCACCTTCTAATTCACAATTGCAAGTCAAAAACAATCTGTCTGAACTACACAAAGTTTAGTACTTTTCAATAAGACAATGAAAACAATGAGTGACAAATGTAGTTGAAACAAAAAATGTTGAAATGAACAAACCAAATGCATGAATGCATTAAAATGCAAGAACGATTTTGCATTAAAAATTTCCGATTTTACTTCCAAAATAGTCAGTCTCTTTAAAAATACAGCCTATAATATTCAATAGGAAATTTTCAGTCCATCATATTTCGCTTTACAAATTTGCTTCCACATTCGGTGGTTCAAGTTCAACAGAAACGTCAACATCGTACATCCGGGAACTGCAGGAATAGCAATAGAGTACCGATGCAAAATCATCATCTGCTGTTAGACAGCCTTCCAGTAGGTGGTGCAAGCGTGTGTTGACAAAGACCAAAAAGGTAAAGAGAGTCATTCATTCACAAAAACAGATTTGCAGAAATGGATCAAGCCATTCATATTCTGAGTGCATTTGTTTGCCTGTAACCAATATAGTATAACCTACATCACCAGTAAGGTTTTTCTTTTTGTCAGAATCACAGCAGTGACGAAATATCTTTAGGCAATACTAAAATGTTGTAACCTGACAGTAGTTCTCATATTTTCTACAAGTAAAGTTGTTTTCTCTTTGTAGAAAAAACAGATGGAACCAGACATGCTGTATTGCTTGCATTTGCTAGAAGAATCAGGTCTGCATGTGAGGTCGGGCTGTGAATATGGACAAAAAAAGGACAGCCATCACTTCAGGTGTTTGCACTTGCACTGTTGCATGCGTGATGTGAATGGATAACTTAAACAAAACATTCGTAACTAAATGTGAATTTATCATTACTTTTTATCTGTGTGATTTTATTGTTGTTTTCAATTGCCCAATTGTACATTCTGACTAAATTACAGCCATTCATGCTTACCATAGTAGACATTCAAATAAGCTGTAAACGTTAGCCCATCTGAATTGAAAGCATATTCTGTGTATCCTATATATTCTCTGTGAAAACCAAATTCTCCATCGTTTCTCAGGCTTTTTGTGGCAACTCATGAGGACACCATGGAAGATGTTCTACAAAGACTGAAGACATTCCACAAGCGATTCATGATGGAGTTTTCTTAGTGTCATCTTTAGCTGCTTATGTCAGACTATTACATTTGTTTGAAAGTTAATTGATTTTTTTTAAATAACATTGCTTCTATTCCCAAAGAGCTGAGATAGACCCTTTTATTAGATTTATCCATTGCCCCAACAATGGCATCCAATTATATTTCTACACATTCTGTCTTTTTGGTGCACAATGTAATTTAGTTTCAATTTAACTCTTTATCTGCCTCAAATTTAGGTTGAGAGGTTACATGAATATTGGTCATTGTTTAATAAATTATTCAGACATTTGATTATGATTATAATTGTATACTTTAGATTGCACTCATTCATTTGGATTCCAATGTCACTCAGATTATCGCACCAGCTGTTCATACGGATCTCACGGTCACACACTCGCCAGTCGTGGTCATTAGGTGGAGGTAATTGACTAATACTACAGTGGTCAACATTTAAAGTGGATCAAAAAAGTTCATTAAAGTTGTCCTAACACAAGAACGGGTTTTGTTAAAAATTCATGTTTAAGTTTGATGACTACTGTATATAGATTATCTGTCTTTTATAGATACTGTATATAGATGATTGTTCTTTTAATTTACTACCAACGAATCTGTACACAATTAAAGCAAGATTAAATCCAGCCAGGAATCATGACCATTATTATAGAAATAAGCAGACCAGTAGAAAATCTAGTTGAAAAAGGCATAAAAAAATGTGCTGAGCGAATTGGTTTCCATGACCATCATTTCCATTTCCATGATTGAAAAAACTAAACTGAGTGAAGGGAGAAACTATGAACAGGTGTCAGAAAACAATAAAAAAATTAGAAACCATGGAAACAAATGAACAGGGACTAAATAACAAACAATGAAACTAAATACAGAAAACTAAAGTAAGCCGTCTCAACATGACGTAATACCCACACTCCCAGTAGGCACTTCCTGACTTATATAGAATAAAAACTAAACCTAGGTGGTGGAAGGGTTGATGATGACAAAAAGGTGGCGGGAAGGAGGGCCTGGACCCTTGAGGAAGAGCCATGGGGTGGCCAGGAGAGGAGGCCATGACGGAACTGGATAACACGTCATTAGCGCCACTGAACGCGGATTGACAACAGAACCCGAAGATAATACAATGCTCAATAAAGTCGTAGTTTTGTTATTTTTGGACCAAAATGTATTTTCGATGCTTCAAAATATTCTAACTAACCCATTGATGTCACATGGACAACTTTGATGATGTCTTTATTTCCTTTCTGGACAAGGACAGTATACTATACATACATTTTCAATGGAGGCACAGAAAGCTCTCAGACTAAATGTAAAATATCTTAAACTGTGTTCCGAAGATGAACGTTCTTACGGTTTTGGGACAACATGAGGGTGAGTCATTAATGAAATCATTTTCATTTTTGGGTGAACTAACCCTTTAATAAATTGAACAGTATTTACATTTGTTCTTTTCGGGATCCCTGAAAATACACAAGCATGTCAGACAGAAACCAAACCAAGGGAAGAGGTTCACCTGATCAAGTCATCTACTGATTCATCGAGAAAGTATCACACAAACCAGTGCGGAAAAGACAAAATGAGGCATTTCGCATCAGTCTAAGGGCGATTTTAGACCTGATCGTTTGCTTTGTTCTGAAAAGGGGAGTTAATTTGTTATAATACTGCACTTTCTTATTCACTTTCACAAGGCAACCTTTCAAAGCAAAATTGTGTTTATGCAAGTCAAATGCGAGTACAACTGTCCTCTTATTGGTCAGACTCTGATAGCACACCCACATCACAGAAACGTTAATTTTCGATGTCTGCATTTACATCTGCTAGATGCATTTTCAAGAGCGTTTGCTCATCTGCAATACATATTTTGAGACGTCAGGTGTCATATAGACATCTAGATGATGTCCGTAAGATGTTTATGGTCTAGAATGCATGTAAAACTACTCTTTTAAAGCCAGGGACACTTAACAAATGTAAGGCCGATTACAAAAGTAATTTGATATGGTTGGAATCTGTCTGTGTGTTCAGTTCAGTCTTCGAATGTTTATGAATTGTCCCCAGCTTAAAGGAGTTACAAAAGAACTTTTGCTTATAATTTACTCACCCCCATGTCATCCAAGATGTCCATGTCTTTCTTTCTTCAGTCGAAAAGAAATTAAGGTTTTTGATGAAAACATTCCTGGATTTTTCTCCATATAATGGACTTCAATGGGAACCAAACGGTTGGACTTCAATGGCAACCAAATGGTTCAAGGTCCAAAAGACAGTTTCAATGCAAACTGTTCAAAGGGCTTTAAACGATTCCAGACAATGAATAAGGGTCTTATCAAGCGCAACGATCACTCATTTAAAAAAAATGAATAAAGTTTAGTCTAGTTGAGTCTAGAAAAGATTTGTTCATTTGGATGAACGAGTTTGAATAGGAGAGTCACAAACGCTCATCACAGAGCACCATTTGAGCTTATAAAACTTTAACTTTGTTTTTTTTTTTTAAATGAGCGATCGTTTCACTTGATGAGACCCCCATTCATCGTCTGAAATCATTTAAAGCCCTTTGAACAGTTTGCACTGAAACTGTCTTTTGGACCTTGAACCGTTTGGTTCCCATTGAAGTCCAACTGTTTGATTCCCATTGAGTAAATTATCAGCAAAAGTTTTTTTAAAAGTGCTTTTAGTAACCAAACTCCATCGCACACCTGCAGGTGATAGGTGCGTCAGATAATAAGACCAGCTAGTCATTCAAGCAGATAAGGAACTCCCGCACACTATCATTACTTGCACTTTTTAATCAAGTTTATTCACACACAACGTTTCGGTCACACGACCTTCGTCAGGAGTATGTTTAAAAGTGCTTTTAAAAGTAGTTTTTTTTTTAACTACTCCTTTAAGATGTTTATCAGATGTATTTACACAGCAGATGTTTTCCAGATCTCTAGTAGACATCTTACAGACATCTTTCATCAATATAATTGACAAGTTCGCTCCACAAGCTTATGTTTTAACTGTGTCGATAGACTTATATACGAATGTAGCCTTCAATCGTGCATTATAATATGGCCTGCTGTTAAAGCGTCTGCAGTTGCTTCGTTGGGACAGCATTCTAGGCAATGCAATGTAGAGCAATTACACAACATGAGGCACTTTTTAGTTTTCAACTGCGTTAACTAATGAGCTCACTCACAGAATCAGACACCGCTGCTTTTTATAAAACACATTTGCCGTTATGAATTGATACCACTTGGTTCAATGGTCCAGATTGCTTTTTCACCTCAACCGAACCGCTCCAGAGTTCGCTTGCAGTCGGGCCGAGACCAGCTCGTTCGGGTTGTATCGGAGCGATTGTTTTGGTGAGGATCCGAATGTTCATAAATGCCTAAGCGAACTGAACTAAATGAGAAACGCACCAGGTTCCAAGAAAGTGCCCTAAAATAATGTAGGGCTTGTTCCACAAAGACATACAGAAACCTTGTTTGTTACTGTAAAAAAAAAACAGAAGTATAGGTTCTTTTTAATTTGGTATGGTGCAATCTTATATTTCTACATAGTTACAACATTCAGCTTTTATTCAAGAAAAGACTTTTGTGCAAAAATGTTTTACATAGTATACAAGGGAGAAATGTCACTGTTCTTTTAACTTCAATAAATTACTTAAATTAGTGCTATTCAAGCAGTTTGAGTCAACACGTGACCCCTTTGATTGTGTTCTGACAGGAGAGAGTTTGATTCGTCCTGCACAGTCTTTACTCAGACCGTCTTCATATGTACAACTGTTTGCCTGGAATGGAAAAACATCTTTCTCAAATAATTTACAGTACCACGTGTCCATTAAAAGCTGTCAGCCTTAACATCGTCTGTGGAGTTCAGACTGTTGTTGAAGTCCTCCTGATCACTGCTAGCCTCTGAGTCTGTGTTATTCAGAAGGTCCACTAATAAGCCAATAAGCTCACTGTCCTTCCGGCTGTCCGAGCTGGATTCACATTCAGACGGCCGAAGATTGCGGTGGATCATGGCCTGTAGGGAAGTGCGCAGGTCCCACAGCAACTCCCAGACATTAGGGGAAAACTCCCATCGTATGAGTGTATGACCTGGTAATGCCACCTCGACCCGATCTCCCAGGACTAAAAAAAAATAAAAATAATATATATTACCACTGTATACACAACTTTTCAGAGCAAACATGAATTGATAAATGAGCTCACATTATATTTCAGTATGAAGTGAATATGGACGCTTGTTTCCACCATGCAATGAAGTAATAGGTATTGAACCATCACTGAACTTATTTAACCTGGACTGTGACGCTATTTTCTTCTAACGTCTTTAAACTTTGTTGCATTATTTTCCTGTTATCTCTGTAAAGCTGCTTTGAAATAATCTATATTGTAAAAAGTGCTGTATAAATAAATGTGACTTATCTCAAAATAAGTTTTTCTCTCAGAATTGCGAGTTCTAGGGGAAAAAAAACCCCCTCAGAATTGTGAGATATGAACACGCGATTGTTAAATATAAACTTGGAAATGTGAGTTCTAAAGATATAAACTTGCAACTGCAAGAAAATAGCGATTACTGTTTTTTTTTTTATAAATCCGTGGCGGAAAAAATCTTCCATAGAATAATGATCAGATCCAACTCTGTGGGGATGGCAGGCATTCATTACCTCTCTCGCTGAGGTCACAGTCTGTGAGGAGCAACAGCGCTAGCGGATGAACCACCGAAGAGTCTCTGATGAACACTTGATCATTTGATTTCATAGCAGAGAAGAACGTGAGCCAGCGACTCGGGAGATTCCGATTTCCCCTAAACGACACACAACACATGACTTCAACTGAACAGGACAAGAATCATGCGTCTTAAACTCAGGAAAATCATCTGCAATGCAGATTGTGATGCACATTTTCACCAGCAGAGGCAAGGTGGTGACGTAATGAGGAACAATATCTACATTAGCGTCCACACAAGCGGACTATATCCTTGTTTACTCTAAGCGCTGCAGTTGCAAATGCCCAAGCAATTTAAAGCAGGATGGATTCTGATTGGCTGCCATCGTTTTCTCTTATATAGCTGGGAAGCATTTTTTAAATCTTTATAGTTGAGGTGTGGACTCTGCTATTCTTTTACAATTAGAAGGATTTTTAAATCTAAAAAACTAAATATTTTATTATAGTTATCCTTGGTGTGAACAGGCCTTTACTCATTTCTCGTGTGAAGAGGTAAATTAATTTTATTAATTAATAGCAAAAAAAAAAATAGTGGGTGAAAAGTGGTCAGGATTTGGGATAGGACATTAATTACAGAATAAATCTCTGCTGAAATCCCCAATGTTTTCAAAAAGAAATTTCCTATAGAAATTCATATTACAACAATACACCATCAATGTCGATCCATCCATTTAGCAGATTTATTCATCTCTCTAAAATCATATTCACCTGTTGACGGAGGAGCGGTGAAGCACCACAGGGGTGCTCTCCGTCCGGTAGGAGAGACTTTCTGGACGAAATCTTCCACCTTTGGTCACTGTGCCTCTTTTCACCTTGGTAAAGTTCAGATATTTTATTAATAGATATGTGCCTATGCAGAAATTGTGCCAGATGCAGAAAGCCAGGGGTTATTTTTTTGTGCTGGGATCAGTAATTTTATTCAAATCCTTTGTTTTATTAGGAAATACAATTCATACAGTGAAACCATAAGCTTCGGGCTGGTCCACATAAAACCAGGCATCAAAACAAAATTGACTAGAGCAATAGTGTTTTAGTTAATGCAGTACTTTTCATGAATCATTGAAACAAAGAAATGATCTTAGAAGATAAATGTCACATATAAATGTCCTGCATATATTATAGAGTCTCTGGAAGTGTGTGGTACCTGTATGAGATTAGGATAGAGGCCAGCAACCAGCACTGCTTTAAGGAGCTGCTCCTGCTGACTGTTCTGGTTCAGATGAGACGAGACACGCAGACATTCAGCAGAATGAGTCGACAGTCCAGCATCAGACAAGTTCTCACTGAACTGTTGCATCAGGCCTGTTTAAGAAAGGAAAGGTTTTTCGTTTACTATGGCTCCAAAATGACTAAAAGCAGCATCAAACTGACTGGGCATTTTACACTTGGTCTTCAAGCATACCATTTATGGCCACGGCAGACTTTTTAAAGGCAGTAAAGAAATCTAAAAATGCACTTTTTAAAAATGTACTTTAAGGATGCATCCCTGTGAAGGTTTTTTACTCATCAAGGACACTTCTGGCAAAATTTGGCTGTAAGCAAAATATGTTTTTTGTTCAGCCCTAGGTTCATGATTACATTTATTTCTAATTCATTTTACGTCATGGTTTTGTTTTCGACAATGGTTTTTAAGGTTTTTCTTGTGGGCCCATTTCTGTTTTGTTTTCATTTATTGTAGTTTCAGTAACTATAGCCAAAGAATTGGTTGAAGAATCAACAGAAAATTCCCAGAGTTTAGATTTATATAATCACACCTATTCATTCAGCAGCCGGTTTGAGGCAACAAGGAAACAAGCGTCTCACTCGTGGACAACGTATCATCTCTACATATCTGTTGCTTTCTGATTTCTTGCAGAAACAAGACAAGCCCTGATTCACAGAACAGCCAAGTTTAAGATGACACGTGTGTATGTTCTGGTTTTGCGTCACATTAAAGTAAGAGGCCAAAGCAAGTCCACCAACGTGTTACTCTGTTAACTCTTCTGTTTGGTGTGTTTGTTGGACAAAATTGTGGATTCTTTCTTTTGATTGGTCAGATCGCCTGTCAATCAAACTCCAGGAAAGGGTAAATTAAAAGACTCACACAACTATTGCGAAAGCTGCAAACACTTACTGATGCTCGAGAAGGAAGATGATGCATTAATCACTTTTTTTTCCAATTAGCACTGCCTACAGGTCTATGGTCACCACCTCAAAGAGCATGCACAGAGAAGTCCAAATTAAACATGATTTAATGACTTGTAAATTTAAGTACACATTGATGGCCTAAGACACGAAACGAGCGGTTTGTGTGAGAAAACGAACAGTATTTATCGTTTTTACCTCTTGTAACCACAGTCACTCATTGTTTACACTGAGATTTCGGAAGTTTTACCTTTTATTGTGAAGATCTAAACATATTTAGATATACAGGAAATCGCGATGGAAGATGATTTCGATATTTAGATCTTCACAATGAAAGGTAAAACTTCCAAAATCTCTGTGTAAACAATGAGCGACGTACACGCGCGAGAGATCACTTCCGGGTCTTTCCGCTGCTCGTCGGCGCGCTTGTGCAGACCGAAGCGCCCTTGCCCTCAGATCACTTGGACGTGACTGTGATTACACGAGGTAAAACCGATATAAATACAGTTCGTTTTCTCACACAAACCGCTCGTTTCGTGTCTCAGGCCATCAATGTGTACTTACATTTACGAGTCATTAAATCATGTTTAATTTGGACTTCTCTGTGCATGCTCTTTGAGGTGGTGACCATAGACCTCCATTATATGACTGACAGACAAGAACGGTTTGACCTAAAAATATTCAAAATTAAAAATACTGTGGAAACAAAGACACCTACATCTTGGATCCCCTTGAGGGAAGCTAAAACATATCAAAAATTAATTTCAAAGTGAACTATCCCTTTAAGAAAATGGGGCTGTAAACTTTTGAGCACAACTGTAGATGAATAATGTCTCACCATATATAAAGCGCAGACTGGCTCCAGACAGAGTATATTTGTCCAGAAATTCATGTTTATTCTCCTTGCCTTGTTGCTCTTTCCATCTCTGGACAACTCGACTGTAGACCAGATAATCACTGCAGCTGGACCCACTCAGGGCGGCCTTGGCCTACACAGAGGAACAGTATATTAGCACAGGAAAGAGAACTCAAGCAGAGAAACTTACACATGTGTGAATGCTACTACAAACAGACTCTGACCTTGGAAACGAGGGCCCGGTTCTGCATGCTGTTATAGAAGGGGTCTCGAGTCAAACAGGCTGCCACAGACAAAATAGGAAGAACGCAAGAAAACACAGCGGAGAGGACCAAGACTTTCCCCAAGCGCGGGTCACAGGACATGCAGGCCACGCGCTGTCCCAGCGGAGTCAGATTCTCTGAGGCGTCCAGCACGCCTGACAGACACAGACAGTGTGTGTGTGTGAGAGAGAGTCAGCTCAAGTTTCCATTTGTACCATGTCCTATAACTTTGCTCAATATAAATAGAAAAATGAAAAGTAAGGTTGAGTTAAGGTAGTGTGTTTTTAATGTACCATAGAGGTTGTGTATTTTTCTATCTTGTATGTGATGCTGGTAATTTCCATGCAGCAAAACAAATTGACAATATTGACCACAGACAATAAAATCTCTTAGTCAAAAACAACCACAAAAAAGTATTGCTAACGACATCTGTTCAGATCAACAATTATGCAAATGTGATGAGGTGTTGAATTGTGTGTGTGTGTGTGTATCATTTATAGCATTGGAATTCATGGTTTTAACATGCACTTCAGCTTTTCAAGCAAGGTTATTATCGATAACTAAAACCTGAACTAAAGCCATCAAAACTTAGACATTTTATTGAACTTGAAGTACTAAAATAACTTGCATCTTAAATGAAAACAAAAATTATAATTAGTAATACATACTTATATTCCAAAAAGTAATATTTAAGAAATAAAATATATTAAGAAATAAACAACAACACTTACTTTTAAATAAAAAACACAAATCTAACACAGTTATACTATCCTTAAAAATGCGATGTGGTCCTCAGGAAATCTTTTCCGGGTGTCTATTTACACCGCGTTATAAAAGCCTGCATTCCACAATTCACCTTTGGCTAAGCCATGCCCTAGAATGTAGATTGACCAATCACAGCACAGCCAAGAACGAGCTCCCACAGAAGTCGGACACTTTTTCACAGCGCTTCATTGACTTTCAACACAGGTGTCTCATATTTTTGGTATCGGCAGGCTATTACCGTCGTAGTTTTATCCAAAATACGGTTAAACGTTGTGCCTCGGGCATTTGTAACACAGATACGCGTTTCCCAGAGAGGTTGGAGGGGGGTGTCCGTTTTTTCCCTTCCCAAAACCGAAGTCAAATCCTGACAAGTGTCGTCTTTGGAAACTGTGTGGATGTCCTCAGTCAGCTAAACCCCGCAAAGATCAACAAGCACATCTTTTTTACTTCTAACCTTACTGTGAAGTTATACTAGTTAGAGCGTTTTAGGTTATGATTTCGGTTCTCATACCGGTTGTTGATACGCTAGCACACGCTGCTAATAAATACAACGTTATACTCGTGTAGTCCGTTTGCTTTGTAATAACGATTATAGAAGTGAATAGAGACCTACCCAGCTTGCATGAACAGTGTTGCTCCCTGATATTGTTAGTCCCAGCCTCCATCTCGATAAGTAGGATATGCGGTGGTTCATTTTTTGACTGACCGGTAACGTTATGCTTTTGCCTCCATTTTGGATGCCTTGTTGTTTCTTGCGTTTCACCTGTATGTCTTGAATATAGCCTTCGAACGCATATTGCAGCCCCTTTTGCCTACTTCTATCGGACAATTTATTTGCTGCTTTATAAAAGTTTGATAACATTTCAGCAGGAAGAGCTGTTACAGCATAAGCCATGCAGAGCGCAGATGAAGTTTGATAGATGTAGCAACAGTAACTAAGGGGGCGGGGCTTAGCTAAAGGTGAATTGTGTGTTTGAGGCAGACAACATTACAAAAGAAACCTGTCTGATAACAGGAGCCTGGCGTAGAGCAAGGCGAGTGACTATTCACACTGCAAAGAAAATACTTTTTGTTGCCATTTACACCGTGAAACTGCAAACAGCCACTGCCGATCTTTTTTTTTCCCCTGTATGAGCTGTGAACCGAAGCGTTTAAATCGGTTTAAATCTGCAAGTCAAAGTTACACGGTTACATTGTAAAAGGCCAAAGGTTAACACATAAATCTAGAAACACCTCAGTACATAAGTCTATTGAGAGATGCTGTAACTAACATGAATGGGTCCATTCTCCATATTTTACTGATTGTGTATAGCCTGGATGCCAGCCCAAACTCCGCCCACAACATTTTTTGGTCGGGAAGTTCGGTCTGGACTCGATCCATTGAGGAGAAATTATGATCAGGCAAGAAATGAACGGGCCAATCAAATTGCCAGGGCGGGCTTTATACGATGATGGACAGATGATCTGCAAGGACGTAATCATCACGTTATCAAAGAGCGCTTAACTGGTTTCCCTCAGAGATGACTACAGCTGGAGAATTGAGATTTATATATTCCACTGTCGCGTCTGTTGTAAAATAAATCGACAGTGCGTTAATTTTAATAGACAAACAGAAAACTGCAATCAAGGCATTTGTCGATCGGAAAGATATTTTTGCCGTCCTTCCAACATGATTCGGGAAAAGTGTAACTTATCAGCTGGCTCTGACGGTCGCTAAGAAGATGGGACGTAATGAAAAGCCTGTGGTCGTTGTGGTTTCTCCTTTGGTCGCACTCATGGAGAAGTAAGTAAAAGAAGCAACACTCGTTATTTAACTTCTAATCTAAAATAAGTAAGTTCTGTAGTTGAAAACTGCGCTATGCAAAGTAGTTGACTTACTGCGTTGCTCTGTTTGGTTGTAGGTTTACCGACTATCCAATTGAGTGCAGAGGGTTTTTTTTCCCTGGTTCGGTTAAGACACGCCTCATAATCAAAGCCCAACGGAGCGGTATCAGACTCATTTTCTTATCAGAAAATGAGTATGACGAAGTCAGGCTAGATTGTGTATGAATCGAGTGTGTGTGTGTGAATTAGACAGTCACACTGTTGTTGCTCTTGAAAACATTGCATCCATTTGGACCAGTCTTCTACAAATGCCCTTCAATAAAATTTTACTTTCAGCAACATTTAAAACCATTACCAATTTCCATTAGGTTCTTCACAGCAGCTTTCACGGCCTGCCTGTCTGGGGAGTCGAGCACTTGCGACAGGAAGTCCACAGCCTGGATGAGAAAGAATGACAATGTTTTCAATGCAATCAGATCTTGATTATGTCGAGAACTGACAAAATGAAGCCTCTTTGCAGGTCAAAACCGTTATTCTGTAAACAGTGACCAGAAAGCAGATTTGAACATGGGTTTGCTCCCTCACTTTGCTGTCTGGACAGTGGATCTTGGCTTGTATGACCACGCTCTCCAGAGGGGTGCGCAGGATTTCAGGGATGGGGAACGTGTCCATGCTGTCCAGCTGTTTTCGGGGGTAGAGGTGGTAGGCATGTCCAGGTTGGCAGCGGCCTGCCCTTCCTCTTCGCTGAGTAACGTTTGCTTGTGAAATCCAGACCGTGTTCAGACCAGAGACCTGAGAACACAAAGCATCAGCTTTCAACGGCTTTACTTTTCCTGCTATGCCAGTTCTCATAACTTTAAAGTCGTCACATTGAGATCAAAATGGACAAATCTTGTTTTTTTTATGGAATATTGCAGTTTATTATAAACGATTTATCCGTGCACATCACTATCGTTTTAAATTCATGTGCATCAACCTTTAATTAAAATAACTTACAGCTTCTTCGATAACGAGGGCGGAGCAACCTGTCACTCACATGAGATCAGCCAATAGCAAACCACAACCATCCAATCAATTCCCCACCGACAAAATCAAGCTCCGCCCCACATTTGTTCTTGTTTGAAAAGCAGATTCACTCGTCACAACAGGAAAGGAAAGACAAACGTAACTTCCGTTTCACACAGACTTTAAAGCGACGAGGGAAGGACCTTTGTTCTGGGGTCGTAGTTCTGCTCTTTCTGAGAGCCGGCGTCCACCACGTGCACGATGTCGTCTATGGTGATGGACGTCTCAGCGATGTTGGTGGCCAGGACGATCTTCCGCAGGCCCTTCGGAGGGCGCTGGAACACAGCTTGCTGATCCGCTACAGCCATACTGGAGTGCACTGCAGGAGAAACAGGAGAAGCGTGTCCTCAAAACGACTAGCATGCATCTCATACACAGATGAGTGGGAGGAGTCAAAGACAGTTATTCAGTCATTTAATTTGACTTAGTGATCAATCAATATAACAGCTACGGAAATTAATCAGACGGTTATGGCTAAGTTAAGACTACAGGCAAAACTGATTTTTCTCAAATAAGATCTTTTCAGGCAGTGTCCGCACTATTAATTGCAAATGATCAAATAAGATTTGTATGTCCAGACATGTAAATGTAAACAAAAGCAGACGCTATATTTTTTTGCATACAGTTTGCATACTTTCTTTGTTTATCAGTCATATCTAATATGTATGTCAAACAGAGACCGTAAAGTTTAAACTAATGAAGAAGACAGATAACTTGAGTGCCGTTTTTAGCGCCACCTGTCAAAATAAAAGTCCTGTTTCTAACATATCGGCCAATAAGAAAAACTTATCGGCTAAAGCTGATATTTTAAAAACACTGAATATCGGCCGACCATTAGAGGTTATATATATTATTATGTCCCACGTTTTGTGCTGTAATCACAGGCAAAATCTTTAGACATACCGTTTGAATACCGTACTAATATTTACGGCATTTATAATTTTGACGTTATCATTTTGTGTTTTTTAAGAGAGATGCAAATGACCATTTGAAATCTGATTTGAGCAGACAGAGCGCCCACAGAGAAACGCATATGTAAAAATCTGATTGGAATTGCATTTCAAACCAGCTCCAAATGTGGTTTGAATCTGATTTTATGTGTTATTTTGCTGTCAAGACTATCACCTTACTCACCTACCGTTAATTATGCATGATTACATGGAACTAACCACATGTTGTTAATATCACTCTGTATTTAAATGTATAATTACACTGTAGCTAAGACACCTTAAAATAAAATGAAACATTTTTGTAGGCCAAAACCTAGAAAACACAATATCATTTAAACATCTCCGGTTCCGTCATTCAGAAGTCTTTTTTTATGGGTTTTTGGTTAAATGTAAGCTCAAGATATTTTAATGTTTTATTCATCAGTAATACTCCCTGGTGATATTTTTTAAGATTTTACTTGTCTTGGAAAAAATGGTTACTAACAAGAGGCTGTGTTTTCAATTGTGAAGATTATCACGATGGACAAAACTTGCAAGAATAAGCAGCTTTTGTTATGCCGGCTTCAGAAAACACGATTTTGGCACGATCAGTTGACGTATGTTGTAGGTATTCGTAAACGACAATGGGCGTCGGGAGTCAGGATTGATTGTTACACCTCATATAGCGAGTCATAGTATACGACAACTGATGCCGCACTTGTGATGCTTCACGACGCCCAGCCAAAAAGACTCAAATTTTTAATCTTTTTATCTGTCCTACACGACGAGTTATGTCACATCTGTGACTTTGACCAATAGGAGCACAGAAGCTCTGTACACAGCTTTCAAACATGGTAAAATTAACCCTGATATCACACATACATCACAGAGACGCTGTGTATGCTTTAAACACAAAATCACATTATCTTACACGTGACTATCGAGACAAAAATATTGTGTCGTCTAAACCTGGCATTATCCACAGAAGACCTTATTCTCTGAAATAATCCAAACACCAATGGAAAAATCCTATTGGGTTTTAATCAAGGGAACCTGAAGCTGACTTATGGCTGGCCTATAAAAATACATCATCACTGAAGCGCTCGATTTGGCTATTATAAAACTTTCTGCATTGACCAATAAATGGTGTCCACTTGGCTGATTAAAAGAAATGTTAGCTTCAATGCTACATTATTTCTGAGTTTGCCATTATTCAATATTTTATCAAATGAAGGCATCATCCGATAAAGCTGCAACTGGGGTGCTTACATGGTAAAATCATCTGTGAGCCTGATCTGTACGCCGGTCTCTCCTCCAGTTTCTGCTGTATGAGTTTAATGTCTTGCCATCCTGGGAGGAAACACAACACAGCACCTGGAAAAGAGCAAACACTGTTAGTCAGAATACAAGAAAGCAGACACAAACATTTAACAAATGTGTATTCTTAGAAAATAAAAAGGTTCTATATAGAACTCTAGGGTTCTTGACTCAATTTTAAAGAACTCTCAATGCCAAAAAGGTTCAATATAAGGAGTAATGCCATTAATGATTGCACAATCCCTTTTTAATTTGGTACTTAAGAATTTTGGTAACACTTTAAAATAAGGTTCATTAGTTACTACATTAGTTAACATTAACTATCAATGAACAATACTTCTACAGCATTTGTTAATCTTTGTTAATGTTAATTTCAACATTTACTAATACTTTATTGAAATCTTGTTAACATTAGTTAATGCACTGTGAACTAACATGAACAAACAATGAACAGCTGGATTTGTATTAACTAACGTTAACAAAGATTAACAAAAACAGAAACAAATGTATTGCTCATGGTTAGTTCATGTTAGTTAATAACTAATTAACTAATGTTTAATAAATGAACCTTATTGTAAAGTGTTACTAGAATTTTTAATTGGTTATTTCTGAATTAAATGAATAAAAACAACATTAATCAGTTACAACTAAATCTTATCAAGCGAAACAATCACTCTTATAATAAATAAATAACAAAGTTTAAGTTTTATAAGCACAAATGGTCGCCTTGCTCTGTTCTGTGATAAGCGTTCGTGACTCTCCTGTTCGAACACGTTCATCAAAATGAACAAATCTTTTTCTGAGTCATTTGGTTCATTCAACGAACGAAATGAACGAATTGACTCGGAAAAAGATTTGTTCATTTTGAATTTTGAGTTGCAATTTGCACTGAAACTGTCTTTTGGACCTTGAACCATTTGGTTTCCAATGAAGTCCATTATATGGAGAAAAATCCTGGAATGTTTTCATCAAAAACGTTCATTTATTTTCAACTGGAGAAAGAAAGACATGGACATCTTGGACTTTTTTTTTTTAAAGTGAACTACTCCTTTAAGTCCCTTTAAATTAATATTGATATAATTGATGGAAAAAACTGTAACCACACCTGTTTAATAGTATGGCTAAGTTCAGTGTCTAATGCAAATCACAAAAATATTATTTGTCATTTTTGTCAATTGCAATTATTAATAAAATAACTTTTATGGGGTTACCTTGCTATTGCAATAATACATATTATTGTACTGTAGATTTAAAAAAAAATCATTTTATCAGTTTAAGAATCATAATATATTAAAATACATATATATATATATATATATATATATATATATATATATATATATATATATATAATAAAACAAAGTATTAATAAAGTATCACTTAAAAAGATTAGTATTATTCATTTAAATTTACAGAACAATAAAATTAAAATACTAACATTTATGGTTGTCCTCATTTTTTTTTCTTTTTTTTTTCTTTTTTAAACCATTGAGCTTTTATTTTGGCATTAAACCATGGGGGGACCTTAACGCTTCTCTTTGTTGACAACAACAGATTTATAAAGGATTCTCATTACGAATTTGGGAAGATGGTTGGCACATGTTGCGTTCCCAAATGCATATTACAAACAAACACAGCACTTGCAGAGTAGCATTTACTGTGAATAGAACCTGAAAATGAACACGTTTCTTTACTCTGAAACATGCAGCGTGTCGGACTATAGATTTATCACAACCGTTGCAATTTGATGATGGAAGCCATATCACACTCTCAGAACAACTACACACTGTCAAAATTAATTTAAAAAAAATACCGGGCAACTAGCGAGGAACAGTTTCAACGCCGATTTTTGCTTTTACTCAATTGGCGCTTTGAACCCTAACATGCAAACAGTGTCACACAGATGTTGCAGAGAGCTTGTGAAGCGCTGCGAGAAGCAATCCGTACTTAAAATGTTTTCGAAAACACATTTTTTTGCAGTTTATTTAGTAATTGTTTAAAGGGTTAGTTCACCCAAAAATGAAAATTAAGTCATTAATTACTCACCCCCATGCTGTACCAACCCCGTAAGACCTTCGTTCGTCTTCGGAACACAAATGAAGATATTTTTGATTAAATTTGAGAGCTGTATAACTACCACATTGGCTCCTAAGGGACTGCCTCTTGACGGCCCAAAAAGTCAATGAAGAAAATGTTTAAATATCCCAAGTGACTACCGTGGCTCAACTATATGTTTATCAAGCGACGTGAATACTTTTTGTGCGAAAAAACAAACAAAAATAACGAGTTTATTCGACTATTTCTTTTCTTCCTTGTAGGCCAGAACGAGACTTCCTTATAGATTTCCACGACGCATGCGCGAGAATTGCGATCTAAGCTGGTGTAAGCAGATCGCAAATCTCGCGCATGCGTCGTGGAAATCTAAGGAATTCTCGTTCTGGCCTACAAGGAAGAAAATAAATAGTCGAATAAACTCGTTATTTTTGTTTGTTTTTTCGCACAAAAAGTATTCACGTCGCTTGATAAACATATAGTTGAGCCACGGTAGTCACTTGGGATATTTAAACATTTTCTTCATTGGCTTTCTGGGCCGTCAAGAGGCAGTCCCTTAGGAGCCAATGTGGTAGTTATAGAGCTCTCAAATTTAATCAAAAATATCTTCATTTGTGTTCCGAAGACGAACGAAGGTCTTACGGGGTTGGTACAGCATGGGGGTGAGTAATTAATGACTTAATTTTCATTTTTGGGTGAACTAACCCTTTAAGGCCATTCAGTGATTTCAATCAGCATAACCTGTCAAATAAAATGTTATTAATTCCAAATTTACTGTGGCAAATCTAAAACAATGCAACAGGTTAGAAGACAAATAAACCCCCCCCCCCCTTTAACGACGTGTTCATATACAGAGCCTGTTTACACTTGTTTACGCTTTGTGCACCCTTGAAATCCCCTTTACCTGGCTCTCCAGACCTGTGAATATGGTCTATCACATCCGCCACCAGATCAAGATCAGGAGCGACGTCTTTTTCTTCCTGGAGACGAAGAATAAAAAGCAAATCCTTACAGCGTGAACCACACAACCAAACCAGATGATGCATGTCAGCCTTCATCTGAACGTACCGCCCCGTTCCTCTTCTCCCTGCTCTTCTCCAGGAGCGGTCGACCCATCTCGGTCATCACCTCCTCCAGGTACCTCGCCTGCACCGGGTGCATGAATCCAGGCACACGCACCACTGGGCATCCCCCGAAATACTGAGCCAGCCGGCGCGTGTCTCCGGTCGCGCTCATCAGGACCACTCGCAGCTCTGGGTTCTCCTTCAGGACCGAGTGCAGCAGGGCCAGGAGCAGGTCGGTGTTGACGTCTCTCTCGTGGACCTCGTCCACCACGACGTGGCTGATGCCCTGGAGGCCAGGGTTGGATTGTAGTTTCCGCAGGAGGACGCCGACGGTGAGGAAGAGCAGAGCGCCACCGCTGCGCTCAGGAGGACGAGACTCGAGACGCACCTGGAAGAGCCAGAGACATGCGTTTAATGGCGCTTTTCCATTACCAGTACCACCTCGACTCGACTAGGCTCGCTTTTCGTTCCGTTTTCCATTGGAGACAGTACCGCCACAAATAGTACCCGGTCGTCATAGCGACACCTTTCGTTCCTCGTTGCCCTATCAAGCTCTCGCTGGATCCTCTCTTCGGTCACCAAACAAAGGAAAGTCTGCACCTCCTCGTTTGACCACGGCGTATTCTTCCGAGTTGCCATAATAATAGTAGTAGTAAGTTTAGTAACTATCTCTGGGCAAACTATTTAAAAATAGCAGGGTTATTCTGGATACTCCATCTGGCACGTGTAATGATGACGCAGTGAATGGTGCTGATTCTCTCTGACCAATCAGCAGTCGGCATTGTTTTCACGTCACATTTTAGTACCGGCTCAGCTCGCCTTAGCTCGCTCAGAACCTCGCCGGAGGTGGTACAAAAAAAGTACCCGAAAGCAGGTACAGGTACAACTTTTACACAGTGGAAAATAGGGATCGACCGATATGGATTTTTTAGTGCCGATACCGATACCGATTTTTTCCCCATCAGCCTTAGCCGATGACCGATACGGGCTGCCGATTTTCTTGAGCCGATATTTGGAGCCGATACATTTTGCTCCCTCAATTTACATCTTAAAAATAACATGATGTTAACAAATGTTACAGGTCTCAATTTAATAAAAGTAACATTTAATTAACTTCAAAAATTAATATTTAACAAATAGTAAAAACATGTGAGGTAGAACAAGAAGAAGTAGATAAACAATTTAACAAATATTAAAAACATAAAGTAGAACAAAAAAAGTTCAGTGCTGAAAATAAATATTTAAGCATAAATTAAATAATTACACTATTGCACACAGTAGCAAACAGCATAATAAAGTGCACAGTGCACACTGTACTTCATTTTAAAAGAAACAAACTATATACTGCATGGTTTCAATTTTTCTACATAAAATAAAATGAGCATGTCTAGTCTCTTTATATCACTGCGATGGCGAGGGAGACAAACTCCACACGCCCCAAACCTCAGCCAGGTGAGCGCTGAATAAATCTCCCACAAAAAACACTGAACAACGTTGGCATTACTTAATCCTATGACCAGTGTTCGTTACAGCACCCGTATGCATACTAGGGCTGTCAAAATTACTCAAATGGCGTTTGCATTTTCCCTCTAAAAAACATATTCGAACATCCCGTAGCGCGTTTTGTTGTTGACGCGCATTACGTCAATAACAGGACACATTAATAAAAAGAGACATAACTACTAGAATTAGATAGTTTATTTGAGTTTAAACATATTTAACAACGTATTAAAAAGCAAACTAAATCAACTAATGGCCAAGACCGCAGAGCTCACTCTGTCTCGCCCTGGACTTGCTCAGGCACTCTCTCTCTCTCTCTCGCCCTCACGCTCTCTGCGCGTCGGTTAAATGAACAACAAACAAATGTTGAGTGCTGATCAAGAGTTTTGTGCAAGCAATTTAAGGTTGCGAGTCGCGACTCGTGTCCCAAATATAGCAGGCTTCATTCAGTGATTGAAGTTTCACAGTATAGAACCGACAGTGAGCGCTCCGAGTGAGCTGTGCAGCTGTGGTAACGTTATTAGTCTGCAACCGCGGGCGTGTTTTTCCATATTCAAATATTAATTTTCACCTTCAAAATTAATACATATTCGAATGTAGAATATTCATAGACAGTCCTAATGCATACTGAACGGATAGCCTACACCTTAGCTATTTGCAGCTCCCTAATACAATGGCAAGCAGTTGTTTTATAGAGGCATTCGCGTTTTCCATTTGGACCCACAAACTTGCTTAGTTGCAAGCACATAACAGTTATAGGGCGACGTGTTTCCATTTTCAAAGTGTTTGACAATATTTCAGCAGTCAAACATTTAAAAGATCCTTTGAAAGTTTAAGTTACCATTCTCGTGAAGAGCAGGTTGCACTCTGCTAGTGGGGGAGGGCGGGGCACGTGAACTGCAGCGTCTCTAGCAGCACAGAGCTGCCCGTGGCCGCCTGTCTATAAATAACGCCGGGAGAAAAAAAACTATCGGCGAACGCGCAGCGGTGTATCGGCCGATTCCGATACACGTAAAAACTTCAAATATCGGCCCGATATATCGGCCGGCCGATATATCGGTCGATCACTAGTGGAAAACCAAACAAACGCGAGCCGAACCGAGTCGAGCTGGTACTGTGTAGTGGAAAAGCGCCATATGTCTCAAGAAAAGGCTGCATTTCAGGGACGGGTAACTTTATATCCCAAATGTGATGGGATTAGGGTTGGCTATCGAGAATCGAGTATCGATTGGAACCGGGACTAACTTTTCATTTTTCCCGGAATCGTTCAAAAGTAAAAATTCCGATTCTTAGTTTCGATATTCACAGTCCGCCGAGCGGAACAAGAAACCGCTGAACAACACCAACGAAGAAGCGTCTACCGGAAGTGTTGGCATAACCGCGCGAGTCGAACATGAGTAGCTTACGTAGGCGGTCCAAGGTTGTGCTTCACTTTTCTAAAAATAACGAAATCTCGGCAAAATGCTAAATTTGTGACAAAAGGAGTATTTGTGACAGGAGTATTTCCTTCAGAAATACCATTGGTTAGCAAGGTTAGCTAAACTTTTTTGACCCTGCCTCTTAAAAGAATCGGAATCGAGAATCGTTAGGAACCGGAATCGAAACAAGGAATCGGAATCAGAATCGTTCAAATTCGAACGATACCCAACCCTAGATGGGAAAATAAAATAATATGCTCTAAGGCAAGAGTAATCATTGTTGACAAAGTCTCTCTCTCTCAGCATTATTGCCGCTCATTTTGTAGGGTCCGCTTCACACACACATGATTTGGCACAGGTTTTACTTTTGATGCCCTTCCTTTCACAACACTGACACAATCACACTCATGCTACGACATAGCTAACTAAGACTAAACCCATACATTTTTAAGAAAAATGTTCAGTTATCATTTAAAAATGTTGTCTCGATTAATCATGGAAAGATTTCTTTAACGAGATGAAAACAACTTCAGAAAAAAGAAAAAGAAAGTATGGGCAGGGACTTGGTTCTATCCATCAATTGTTGATTGGATGTTGAGAGTCGATGGTAAGAAAGGGGCGGGGTTAAAGCAGACTAAATGATCGGAGAAGTCCTACGTACGTCACCAGAGAGATCTTCCATTACACTGGAAGATCCAGTTATGACACTGATTAAAAATACAAAGTCAACAAATCACCACTCGTGCAATAATATCAATAAAACGGATTTCTAAAATAGATAAAATAAATAAATTAAAAAAAAACTGATTTCGGACTAGATTGAAAGGACAGAATGTTTTGGGTGTTCTTGCCTGGTATCCCACACAGTGGCGGAGGGCGGGTCCCATCTCCTGCGCCACACGCTGCGCCACAGACACTGCACTAATGCGACGAGGCTGTGTGACCAGGATGTTGCATTTGGCCCCGTCTCCGCTCCTAACGCAGCCCTCCAACAGGAAGCGTGGGATCCGCGTGGTCTTCCCGCAGCCCGTCTCTCCAGCGATCACGACCACCTGTGAGGACTTCACCGCTGCGAGAAGGCTCTCTTTATAGGAGTCCACCGGAAGCTCCACCCCTCGGCCAGGCCCCGCCCCCGCCCACAGGCCGAGCAGGTGGTCGCTGAGACTCTCCTGCTCCTCAGGGCGCAGAGGGCGGTATGGCTTATTAGTAATAACATCTTTAATGAAGTCGTCCTCATCATCGTCATCTGAACTGATGGAAGACGACTGAACTGATTGCTGCTCCTCTTCATCCCACAACTTCTGAACTTCAGCCTCCACTGGATGCTGAAACATCAAAAAGTTATGATGTTACACAATAATCAAAATAATTGAATAAATGTGTATTTTGTTTTACTGCACTGGTGGATTTTTCACGTTTCAAAGCCAAGTCCCCTTTTCTTGTCCATTTCTGGACCATTTTACTAAAAGAATTGTTTCAAGCAAGTTTGCAAGTTTAACGCTCATTAACTCTTTCCCCGCCAGCGTTTTTTTTTAAAAGTTATTTTAGATCAGTGTTTTTTTTGTTTGTTTTTTATCATTTTCACAAAAATATTATGGCCCCCCGAATATTTTGTTGTATGAATATCTGAACATACAATATCAAAAGAACAGACCCTCTGCCATGTTATTCTAGCTTCATGCTTTTCTTTTTCATCAACACTTGAATGTGGGCACGTTTCATAAACAAAGCAACATTTTGAGCAAAAAGCTGAGAAAATTCTAGTTTTTTCAAAGACTACATTCAGATCATATTCAGAACGATGATCAAAACACATGGAGTAGTCAAAGTTCATATCCAAATTAAGCCAAATAAAATGTATTGGTAAAACTGTATTCTAAGGTTGCAGTTACATGTACTTATTATATTTATACCAGTAAAATATGCATAATTACAAGTAACTAACCCCAAACCAAACCCTTACCTTAACTATATTAAGTACATGTAGTTAATTAATATTAATCAGTACCGTATTGTTCAGAATATAAATATTATATAAATATAAATATAGAATATAAAGAACCCTGATAATAAGACTTTAAACCGATGTACAGAAGAAACCCTTAAAAAGTTAAGAAAATGCTTTTATTTCAAAATAACTTTTATATAGCATATTTTTCATATTAAAAATTTTGTATCGAAAGTATTGTAAATACCAGTAAAATGTGCTAACCATCACATTAAAAAATAAACACTTTTATGAAAAATAACCTGTAAACCAGAAGTAAATAATAATTAGGCGACCCATCTCATTGTGAAAACCATGTAGCCTACCAACATTATTTTAACAGTAGAAGTGAAATCTTATTAGTTTGGAAATCTGGGTGCCTTCTTGCGTTTTAAAATCACGTACGGGGGAAGTTTGGTCCCGTCAGCAAGGCAAGAAAACATGACAGTCTTGGACGGTAAGCTTTTCTTTGATTGTTTGCATTTTCGTCGCCCGTGACCTTTTGAACGTAATTACGTAATATGTGACGTTGCAAACGTGCCTCACAGAATAGAGCAAGGCTAGCATTTGTCCTTATAAAAGTTACATTTTTGGAATAAGTTTTGAAATAACCGATCGTTTCGCATGATAAGACCCTTATTCATCGTCTGGTGTCGTTTAAAGACATTTGAAGCTGCATCTGAAACTGTTATTAACTGTCTTTTGGACCTTGAACCATCCCAGTTCCCATTGAAGTCCATTATATGGAGAAAAATCCTGGAATGTTTTCATCAAAAACCTAAATTTCTTTTCGACTGAGAAAGAAAGACATGGACGTCTTGGATGACATGGGGGTGAGGAAATTATCAGCAAAAGTTTTCAAAAGTGAACTAATCCTTTAAGACCGCGATCTTCAAACATTACACTCTGACACGTATTTCTTGGCGCGAGTATTTGGCGCCACCTATTGTTGCATTTGAATTGTTGACATTTAAAAGTCTAGATCCTGAATATAAGAAAATACCGTTTTTCAGATGCATTTCTAAAAAAAACTGTCTTATATTCAGAACAATATGGTACTTGTTTGAGTAAATACAATGTAACTAGGTCACCTTAAATAAAGTGTAACCAAATTATTTGTGCTCATCTATATTCGAACGTACATAATTATGAAGCGTTTATAGTGCAAAGTGAAACACCGATTGGCCAGAGTGAGTCTGATGTATGTCACCTGTGCGAGGTACTGTTGAATCCTCTGTTCCAGATCCTGGGGTATTTCAACACGGCAGGGTCGCCTGTGCCTCTCGCCTGCTTCACGCACCTCCTGCTGATGGTACCTGGCGTGAGTCAGAGGGTTGTTCTGCTCATCCAGAAGCTTCAGTTCCTGTGAGCATAATCAAAACAGTCAGCTGGTGAATATCAGTGCTGGTGCTAGATGACAAGCACAGGACTTCCTATTGAAACAGGAAGTAAGGGTTACTGGAAATTGATTTGTTACTTAAAACTGTTAGTGGTATTAGTTCAAGGAGATGTTCAAAAGCTGCGCTTCAGAGAATGGTGGTGCATTCATGCCATCTCAGAAATATGAAAACTAGAAGTTCATAAATTCCATTAACAAGTTTGTTGACATAACTTGTATTTACGCATTTCTAACAGAGCAGCATTTGCTGAAGGGGCGGCACGCACAAATAAACACACAGTGCGACTGGTGTAGTCGGATTCATGACCAAATGACTCTTGTGAGCAGACTCTCCAAAGCCTGTTAACCGTCAAGTGGTGGCAGGACAGTTGGCCTGCTTTTTATATTCCCTATTTTCCTCATCACAACATATTTTAGGTATAATTTGCACTCTTAAACACAAAACAAATTGAAAGTTGACATTGTATTACTATGTAAACGGCACTTTAAAACCTTTAAGCGACAAGTAGTGTTGCAGTACTCAAGACCGGTCTCAAGAGAACTTTTTGATGGTCTCGGTCTTGGACATTGAGGACTCTGGATTTTTTTTTTTCAAGACCACAAGACCATAACTGTGAAAATATCATAATAATTTCATGATATCAAAATATCATATAATTTGCCAGTTTATTGATTCATTTTTTGTTAACATCCTTGCTTTTAATGCATGTAAAACGTACTGATTCAAATCCAAGCAATAACGTGACTCATGGTCGTGTCATTGCTGATCATTGCAGACTCGTGGTCATTGCTAATTATGTATTTTTGTTACCGCTGCCTGTCACCCATGTATTCATTTTCATGTATTGTTAATAAAAGGCGGCGAAAAGTGAAGACTTGTTTTATATTCTGTACTAAATGATGGAAGTCACCCAGGAGTATTGACTAAAGATGGTTTATTTCAGCTTTGAGTGTTAAATATCTCTGTTTTTATGGGAATGTGGATCTTTCAGATCAATTTGAGAAGCTCTTTTGATCATGTTTCACATTTTATTGTGTCATGTAGTGTGGGGCGCTGGTCTTGGTCTTGTCTTGGTCTCGGCACCTAAAAGTCTTGGTCTTGTCTCGATCTCGATACACTCTGGTCTTGGTCTTGTCTCGGTCTCGGGTTAGGTGGTCTTGACTACAACACTTGTTAGACCTATGGCTTTGATTTATGGCTTTTTGTGGCTTTTGATTTATGTATCAAGTCCAAATCATTTTATAAAATGATTAAAAAAAAAAAAAAAAACGCATAAAAATCTTCAGTACATGCAAGTGTGGCTCTGTTCTGTGACGCGTGACTCTCCTATCGAACTTCGAACTAACGAATCTTTTCCAGAGTCAACTCGTTCATTTCGTTCATTGTATGAGCCAAATGACACGAAAAAAGATTCGTTCATTTTGATAAACGAGTTCGAACAGGAGAGTCACGAAATCGCTCATCACAGAACAGAGCAAGGCGACCATTTGAGCTTATAAAACGTACACTTTGTTATTTATTTATTAAATGAGCGATCGTTTCGCTTGATACGACCCTTATTCATCGTCTGGAATAGTTTAAAGCCCTTTGAACAGTTTGCAGTTTGCACTGAAAATGTCTTTTGGACCTTGAACCGTTTGGTTCCCATTGAAGTCCATTATATGGAGAAAAATCCTGGAATGTTTTCATTAAAAACCTTCATTTCTTTCCGACTGAAGAAAGAAAGACATGGACGTCTTGGATGACATGGGGGTGAGTAAATTATCAGCAAAAGTTTTTTTTTTAAAGTGAACTACTCCTTTAACTTCTGGAATAATCTCCTGACTGTCTGTCCAACACAAACCAACCTTAAACCGGAGACAAGCCAGTGCCGCTGCTTTAGACTCCGCTTCCAGTCTACGCCGGCCGTGAGCTGTAAAGGTCATCTCCTCCGGCCAGCGTAAGGTCAACTCGCATGTCTTCACCGTCCCACCAGTCGTCCTGTACTGAAGCAGCTCCTTCACACGGAGGGGCAGAGAAACAGAAACCAAACAGGAGAATGAGAAAAATCAATGAGTGCGTTTACATGCACGTTCTTAACTCGATTAAACTGACAATCCATGTGGTCATTTAAATGTGTTAAGCTGTTTATTCCGATAAAAGACAAAAGGTCAAGCGTAAACCAAACACAGCAACATTTTCTGCACCGATTTTGCCGGTATATAAATAAGCAGATTTCTTTGCCTTATTAAAGTGCACATGGAAAGGCATCCTTACAGTGGATTTAAGCGCATCCAGACAGAGCGAGTGTTTTGCGGTAGGGAAGGAAGAAATACATCGCAAACTCTTGACCCACGAAATTAAAAAATGCTTCATCTCATGCTACCAGGGAATTACTTGGAAGTCTCGTAAACACGGTTTCCTTGCTTTGCTGGGTTATTGCTTTGCATATAAACCACAACAACTGGTTAATTCAATAAACTGATTTCTGGGACTTATCGCGTATCGGTCTGTATTGTAACATACTTGTTTGGTCTTTTTTGTCAGATGTGTGTGCTGGTCAACAACAGTCTCAAACTCACTCTGACTCTGCAGGATGATGTGGCGACCTGAATGACACTTCCCAGAAGTGCCCTCGGCTTTGGAAACATGGAGAGTGCCTCGGTCACCGTCGGATCCTCTTCTATTGGCCTATGACACATCAAATATCAGATACAGATGGATAACAGAACAAATGCAACAACGATGTGTCAAATCTACGTGAGAGTAATGTATTGATTCATAGCATATGGAAAACTGCACTCATGTGACAACGTGATGAAGGATTTCTGAATCTCCAAAGCATTCTTTCTGCCAGTGTAAACAAAGACCAAAAGCCAATTCAGACTGTAACGGTTTCTCAGGAAGATGTGTGTAAAATTTAATTTTCATGGTTATAAAAGGTAAACATTTTACCTGGTTGACTAGCAGATGTCATACTAGCCCTAATTAATACAAATGCACATAATAAATATTGTAAAATTTTATTGCATACATTTTGTTGCCATAATAATGCTCATTTCAAAACTTTATATGGTCTTGCGGTCTTAACCCTCAGGTGCTCTTCAGTCATTTCTGACCGAAAAAATGTATGTTTTGAAATGTTAAAAATCACAGCTTCATCGGAATGTTACGAAACTTGGTGACTTTTATTCCATTGGGTATGTGAACACACAAAAAAATTGAGGTCATGATCCGAGCATGCTAAGTGGTCGTAAAAAAAATAGTCACACTTGTGCTCTTCGGTCAAAAATGACCGACCATAGGAAATGAATGGGAAATTGACAAAAACACAAAAACTTTGAGAATTTTTGTGTGTACAATCTACAAATCGGCCACGATGCAGAAAAAAAGTGCTCAGCATTGAAGGGGTGACACTCTAAAACATCAAGAGTGCAAAACAGACATACCCACCCCTACACACACACATACACACATACTTTTATACACAAAAACACCAATAAATTGTGATTAAAAAATATGTTTTGAATTTCTAAAAAATCACTGCTTCATCAGAAAATTACGAAACTTCGTGACTTTTATGGCAACATGTATGTGAACACACAAAAAAATTGAGGTCATGATTCGAGCACTTTAAGTGGTCGTAAAAAAATGAGATACACTTCTGCTCTTCTGTCAAACATGACCGACCTTAGGAAATGAATGGGAAATTGACAAAAACAACAATCTACAACTTCAAACTACAATTTGCAATCTACAAATTGGCCATGATGCAGAAAAAAGTGCTCAACAATGAAGGGGTGACACTCTAAAACATCAAGATTGTGATATTGACACTCACCCACACTCACAAACAGACGCACACACGCACAAATAAACACACACCTATATGAACCACTGTGTCTGTAATAGAGCAATGTTGTGAGAATATGTGAAATCTATTCAATAATTCAGTCATAATGCAGGAAAAGCTCACAGCAGTGAAGGGGTGACACTAACTTCAATACTGAAATTAACACACACACACACCTATAACAAAAAAAATAAGTAAACGTGTCCATGAACAGCTGGGGAATTCACATGCCTCTCCATAGAGAACTGTACATTTCATCTAGTGGTTACAACATGGTTCTACGCTTTCTCTCCATACTCTTACCAGATGGCGCTAATCTGCCTTCAAAAATTTTTTTTTGGAAGGCCTAGTCTCTATTTTAACCTAAAATACTGCTTAAAAAAATAAAATAAAAAATGTATATATATAAAAAAAGTTTGTATTATTTTCAATGGCAAAAATGGACCATACATATTGCATAAATATTAATAAGTAACATCAAATTGGCTCAAAATACAAAATTAAAAAGAAAAAATATAACTGAACAAAAATAAATTGCATTGGTTTTACTGGGATGGAGAAAGTTTCATTTTTAGGTGTCCGGTCACTTTTGACCGGGAAGATAACAAGTGTGACTCCGAAACGAAGGCTAGTGATTACACCACGATTCTACGCTTTTTCTCTATACTGTAACTAGATGGTGCTAATTTTCTTCAAAAAATATTTTTTTTCTGAAGGCCAAGACTCTATAGTATACTAAATACTGCATTCATAATTTTTTTTAAAAAATTATATACATTTAGAAAAATATATATACTTTTCCATGGCAAAAATAAACCATAAATATTGCATAAATATTAATAAATTCAATCAAACTGTCTCAAAATACTAAATTAAAAAGAATAAATATTATAGAACAAAAATAAATTGCATTGGTTTTACTGGGATGGAGAAAGTTTCATTTTTAGGTGTCCGGTCACTTTTGACCGGGAAGATAACAAGTGTGACTCCGAAACGAAGAGCACCTGAGGGTTAAATATTTTACTTCTTAACAAGTAATGGAGAAGGGATGTAATGTTTTTTGAAACACTATCCAACATTTTTCTAATAAAACTTTAAATGCGTGCACATTAGTGTACAGTGCATAATGGCAGTGGTTAAAAATAATATAAAATATTTACAATAAGACTTTTGGATTGATCTCTTCTTGCATGTAATATAGTCAGGACTTTTTACGCGTGTGGTGGGAGAAAAACCCTGACATTCTGGAATCAGATATCCATAAAAAGCCCAGACTAGCCTTTGTAAATGCTGAAAATACCTTACGTCCCCATGAGAAACAATTACCCTCCAAATGAGGCTCAAGCGCATCTGCTAGTGCTAACAAAATGGGATACCTCAGGGATCACTGCTAGGGCCCCATCCACTTTTTAAAATACAGAAAAATCATCACTGGAACATAATAGGCACATTGCTTTTGCTTACTACGTCACTAACAAGTGCCAATCCTAGCAAGACTTTTCTGTCAGTGATGTGTCCCAATGTAAATTTCTGGACCTGTAAGTTTATTATGATTTCGTGACTACAATCTCAATTTTTTTTTTTTTTACACATTTCATTCATCTATTTACTTGAATATGACTGGAATGATGAACATGAAATATTAAACTCAGGTGAAGTATTCACTATTCAGGAAGAGTATTTGATTACCCTTGGGCTCGTTCCTTCTGTGTTTTCTTCTTGAGAGGCAGAGAGTCATCATCGTCTTCTTTATCTTCCCAGACAGATGTCTGCCTCCCTTTCGGTCTCGTCTTTCCTCTAACGGATGGTTGATTTCCTTGACCGAGGACTCCCAGCTCCTAAAGACACAATGCACAATTTTCAGGATTACTGAAATTACAATGAATAGGGACCAAAGCTGAACTTTAAACATGAGCCATACAAGGAGTCCATACAACTCTTGCACTATATTATCCCACTCTTAAAGTCCCCCTGTGGTAAAAATCCAGCTTTTAGTGTTGTCCACGTGGTGTTTTTAATATGCTTTAAGAAAAAGCATGTGTAAAGTCATAAGTCGAGTATTTTCTCCTTAAAACTGCAGTGAACAGTGTTTTTGACGTCACAAACGACCTTGTAACCAATCAGATCAACGTGTGATCGTCAGCGAGTGGAGCTCTGAGCTGAGTGAGTGGAGGTGGGGCTCATTTGCATATTCATTGAACCACATATACTAAATGAGGGTGTCGTGTTACAATCAAGCTATTTTAAGGCATGAAGAAATTTTTTTTTCTAAGAAAAAAACTTTTAATGCGTAAATTTGGTTATTAAAGGCGACTTTTAAGGGATAAAATGATTGCTGGGGGACTTTTACCGGGGAACTGGGGAATATTATCAGGGAATAACAACATGGCTTTAAAGGAGAACTCCGGCGAACAATGAACCTTTGGTCCAATAAAACATCGGTACCTAGTCAATCGTTCTCTGAGATTTGTTTTCATGATAATCGAATGTAAAGAGTTTTATCTCTAAAAACTGTTTAGCGTATAATGCTAGTAATGGGGGCATTGAGTAAGTAAAAAGAAATCACTAGTTTATACCACTAACAAGGCTCAAAATAGCCGCACACTAACACAGTAACATAATGAGGCTCCATGTATGCAAAACGAAGCATTGAGAACTTTGTAAGTGTACAGACCGTTTAATAAGAAGATACTTTATGAAGACAGTTCACTTCGCGTATACAGACAGGAGCCATCTTAGGAAATAGTCTCGATAAGTCGATCCCCGAACGCCGCTCATACAGTTCAGAAGTTCGCTGAACTTCATACAGTTCAGATCACTCAGCACGGCGTTCGGGGATCGACTTATCGAGACTATTTTTTAAGATGGCTCCTGTCTGTATACGCGGAGTGAACTGTCTTCATAAAGTATCTTCTTATTAAACGGTCTGTACACTTACAAAGTTCTCAATGCTTCGTTTTGCATGTATGGACCCTCATTATGTTACTGTGTTAGTGTGGGGCTATTATGAGCCTTGTTAGTGGTATAAACCAGCGATTTCTCTTTACTTAGTCAATGCCCCCATTACTAGCATTATACGCTAAACAGTTTTTAGAGATAAAACTCTTTACATTCGATTATCATGAAAACAAATCCCAGAGAACGGTTGACTGTGTACCGATGTTTTATTAGACCAAAGGTTCATTGTTCGCCGGAGTTCTCCCTTAATAGACTTGGAATAGAGTGCACAAGTAGTATGGAAACGTTTATTGTACTTTTGCATCCCCATTCATGGCCAATACATGGAAAACAGTTTCCTCTCCAGAACTTCTTCAAGGCCCAAACATACTTCAAGCTAAATTTAAGATACAACAGGTGACATCATTTCAAACAAAATCGGGGCTGAAACTAGGTTCATTTGCATGTCATTTCGAGAGGTTTGCCAAGGCGCCCTATTCTTTGATTGTTTGCTATGGTGAAGGTGCTGAAGTGACTCTACAGCTCACACTTACTCTGAGTTTACATAGAGCTGCAGCTGCTGCTTGACGCTCGGCCTCCAGCTTACGAGACCCAAAGCCCTCCGCCTCCATCGGCACGGGCCACTGGAGGGTGACTGTTGCTCTCTGAAAGACGTTGTGATAAAGTGAACAACAAATACAAAGGTATTACATATTCATCACACAGTAACGTTTCATAAGCTATAGAACATGCTTCTTTATTTGAAGGAGCTGTCCAGACCAGGGATTTTTTAGGCTGTGTTCACACTTGGCATGTTTAGTTGGATTAAAACGAATCCTGGTGCGATTGCTTTGTTAGTGCGGTTCGTTTGAATAAGTGTGAACGCTGACATCCGAACCCTGGTGACACCAAACAAACAGAGAATGCAGAAAAGATGGGTCTTGGTCCGCTTCCAAGCAAACTCTGGTGTGGTACGACTGAAATATGAACACAACACGGACCAAAGACATGAAAATTAACAAAATAACAGACGCCACCCCAAAAAGGACCGAATGCTCAAGCATCCCTGATTTTTCTTGTCATATCGCCAGTTTGCCCATCACAGGCATCAGAACCCTGTCTCCTCACCGCGAACTACAAGTGTGAACGCAGCCTAATCTGCCACAGATCGCCATATATGATCATTCCATTGGCGAGAGACCCCCATCCTAGCATTTAAAAGGCTGCATATACATAAATGATGTATAAAGGCAAAATTTATACTGCAAAAAATAATATGTGGAATAAATATTGTGGAAAACAATAGCACTTTGTTTATTTATTTTTAAATCTAATTTGACTTTATTTTAATCTCTTTTTTACTTTTATAATTCTTTGCAATTTTTATTTTATACATTTACTAATATCAAACGTATTACAAGCAAACAATATTTTAATCATTTATTTATATCAAATTTACATTTTAATCTATTTTTTTATTTATTTGAAAAATATGTATATGAAGAGTTCAGATGCAAAATCCTCTAAGTGCCATTTGAAATTTTCCTCTAGAATGATTATTTTTAACAAACTTGTATATTTAAGTTCAGTGATTTCACTTAAATGGCAATGATAATTACCTATTAATTGTTATTTAAGTGAAATTACTGAACTTAAATATACAAGTTTGATAAAAATCATCATTAAAGAAGAAAATTTCAAATGGCATTTAGAGGCTTTTGCATCTGAACTCTTCATATATACTGGGTTTCTTAAAACATTTCCCGAGCCTCGTTTTTTTTATTTTTTTTTTTTATTTAAGACGGCTCATAACTTTCAAACCTGAATTAAATCCACATAGCATTTTTTTTTATCCACTACAATGGACATCACAACTGAAACAACATAAAAATCCTCGTATTTTAACCATAAATATGAACTCGAGTTTGTGAAATAGTGTTTTTGTAGGTCTGTTTCACAACCTGGCACACAACTAATTCATGAGGTTCCTGCTGATCTTGTAACAACTGATGTACATCAGACGAGCAATAAAAAAATCTTCAAAATAACATTGAATATTATCACTTGATAGTTTATAATAGTTGAAAGTTGGTGAGGCTTTTATTTACATAAACGTGCATATAAAATGGTTTGTTACCCATGCCTGAAGCCTGTCTATGCCTGAAGCTCAATCAGATTTAGTTAGGAGGCGTTATCTTCGTTGTGATTGGTTGATCAGAGACCAATCAGTGAGCAGGCATTACTCACATTATAAAACATAAAAATGTTTTGGTTTACCCCAAAAAACGATGAGGGGGTCTGAAGGGGTTAGTCAGTCAGTCAGTTACATAAAAAAACGTAGTTTGGTCTAATTTGAAACCGAAAGGTTGTAATGATTACCCCTATCTAACTGTAGAATAGTTATGTCATAATAGCTCTTTAGACAGTCTTATTATAACTGCAATGTCAAAGCAAGTGTCCCAGAGAGGCTCTAACCTTGACCTCCCCATCGCTGCAGCTGTACTGGATGTACTCGGACAGATCGGACAGACCCAGGGATTTGGACAGCGTGGTGTACAAGAGGTTCTTAGGTTGAGGAAACTCTCGGAGAAGATCAGGACCACCTGTACGCAAATGACACTGTCAGAAAAATAAAAGCGCGTGCGAGAATCCTTAGTCTTTCGCGAGATGATCTTACCTTTGTGAACAGTTTCCGGCGGAGAGTTGCGATGTTTATGGATGACACCTGTTTTAGTCCTATACTGACTTACAAAAGTCCACTTTGACCAGATGTCTTTATTAATTTCAAGAGTTTTTCTCCTTAAAGCGACGAGTGCCCGAACCGGCATGAGTGCAGTGCAGGACATCGCCATATCTGTTGTCTTCTTCGTCGCGTTTGACGCGTGACCTACTGGCGACAGCGCCACCTGTACTGCAGTGAGCGAAGAAGTCAAGAGGTCTCGAAGAAGTTGGAAAATAAAAGTTCAAATATGGAATTAAATTGTTCATATTTACAAAACAATGTGGCCCATCGCTCCTGTACAAAAATATATATGTATGTATTATGTGCCTAATTGTTGCAACAGAAAGGTTACACCACATTATTATGCTACTACTGTACTGAGGTACAATGCAACAAACACATGTAGACCCTAAAAGTTAACAAAATCTGAATGAGAATCACCCTGAGAAAATCATGACAGAAAATGACCTTGACTAAAGTGATCTGTTTATTCCACAGATTCTCAACCTTTTTTCTGGTTATTAAGTGAATTATGAATACAAAGTTGATGTTATGCTGCTTTGGTGAATCTAAAGGGCCAGGCTTAGGTCAAACGCGTTTAAAATGAAGGACACTCACAGACAAATCACAGTACAATTTCTTCAAATGACAAAACTGAAAGTTTTTTGTTTAGATATATACATATAATTTATTTAAAACAAATCCAAGCATACAGTGGAAATAAATATAGACTGAGCTACTGAGAATTATACATGAATTGACAAACAAATATGTTTTCCTACAGGAAAAAAAGTACCTACTGAAACTGCCAGAATCTTAATAAAAACATTTTTATAAGTTGAACGAGTTTAAATGAGGATTAAAACATCTTCAAGTTTCTCATCACAAAATTGAAATATAACAAAACACACTGCTATAATTCTTCAACGAGTGGCATTGAAAGCACATTTGTTAAGATCAACTGAAGGATTTTTAAAAACAGTCTGTCGGCATCAGACCACCAGTTTCATCATGTCTGGACGGACATTCTGAGTGATGGTGACAAAACACACATGAACGGACTCCATTTTAAAATACTGACATAATAGACATCACACGAACCAGAGAGCTTCAGTGTGTGCAATAATATAGTCTCGCCATCACATCTTTCCATACATTCTGCATTTCATCCTCTCAGTTCTCTTCAGCAAGTTTCATCAGCTGGGTAAAACACACCAAATGTTAAAAGATTAAAAAATAAAATTTTACAAAGCATTTTTCAACATTTTTGCTAATATATAATATATATATATTTATACTAATATATAGCTTATATATATATAGTATAATTTGCTTTATTATTTTATATATATATATATATATATATATGTGTATGTATGTATGTATGTATGTATTTATGTATATGTATGTTAGGGCTGTCGAACAATTAACCGCATCCAAAATAAAAGTTTGTGTTTACATAATATATGTGGGTGCACTGTGTATAATTATTTTATAAATACACACACATTATTTGAGAAATATTTTCATATACTGTATATAGATTTATATTATATATAAATATTTTATATATAAATAATATTTTTTTTCTTAAATATACATGCATGTGTGTGTAATTTTTATATATATATATATATATATATATATATATATATATACAAAATAATTATACACAGTGCACCCACATATATTATGTACACACAAACTTTTATTTTGGATGCGATTAATCGCGATTAATCGTTTGACAGCCCTAATATATATATAAATAAAATAAAGCAAATTATACTACTATATAATATTATTATATGAAGCGGCACAATTGTTTTTAACCTTGATAATAATCATGAATGTTTCTTGAGCATCAAATCATCAAATCAGAGTGATTTCTGAAGGATCATGTAACACTAAAGACTAGAGTAATGATGCTGAAAATTCAGCTTTGACCACAGGAATAAGTTATTCAAATAGAAAAAAAAAGTTATTTAAAATCATAATATTTCACAATATTGCTTTCTTACTAGGGCTGTAACAATATATCGCAATATAAAAATGCAACAATATGCATCGTGGATAGGGACAATTTGTATTGTGTATAGTTCACTCAAAATGAAAATTACTGTGCGAGATAAAATTGGAAGTTTACAGAGTCTTAGTGTCAGTACTACATCCAACTATTATATATAATATTTAATAATGCAATGGGAGCATTGATTAGCATTTTTTATCAACAGTACATTTTTTGTAAACCTTTTATCATATCTTGGAGTGTCGCAATAGTATCGTGAGTTCAGTATCGCGATATGTATTGAATCGTGACATGAGGGTATCGTTACACCCCTATTTCTTACTGTATTTTGGTCAAATAACTGGCGAGAGACTCAATCTTTTGAGCGGACTGTATGAGAAACACTTACTCTCTTGTTCTGCTTTCCTACGTTTCCTACAGGCACACACTATCACAACAGTCACTGCAGGAATCAGCAGCAGGAGCACCAAACAGTAGAACAATGAGTTGGAGTCTGAAACGATAAACAGCTTGATGTCAAAAACACATCCACAATAGTATATATTCATTTAAGCATTACTCCATGCAATCAGCCCCACAAATGAAATTTCGGCCATTTTCTCACCCTCGTGCTGTTCTGACACATAAGATGATGTTTGAAGAACCTTTCAGCAGTTTATTGGATTAAGAAAAATGAATGGAGTTTCATTTTCTAGTTTCCACATTATATTTAACAAAAGATCAGTCTCAGCCATTTGTAAGTTGAATGTGTGAGGCTTTCAGTCAGTTATTTTACCAGTACAAAAACACAGTAATGCTGCTTGATATTACAGTCTGGGATTTGATATCATTTTAATTTATTATATCATATTCATAAACACACTGGTTTGTTGTGCACAGTTCTAATGTTTCTTGCACTTATTCTTAAAGTGACAGCAGGTACTACTTTGGTGCTTGATATTGCAAAGTGCAATCTATTGTTTTCATTTAATTCATGAATGCAATCATAAACACACTGGTTTATAGTGTGAATTATTTTACAATTTACTGCATTTCGTTATCCTTCCAGTTATTTACTAATGACTCAGAAAACAGCTTACTTCTGTGTTGCTACATTATAAGGTGAATAACGCCTAATGAATTACATGTAGAAGAACAGACAAAAACACCCGAATCATTCTTCAAATATCTTCATTTGTGTTGTTTTGCAGAGGGGAAAGAAATCATAAAAGAACAGCATGAGGAAATGAACTACACTCTTAAAAATAAAGATTTCAAAAGGGGGGGGTTTTCTCACATTGTTGGTTCTGCATAGACAAGTTCTTAAAGGGTTAGTTCACCCAAAAATGAAAATTAAGTCATTAATTACTCACCCCCATGCTGTACCAACCCCGTAAGACCTTCGTTCATCTTCGGAACACAAATAAAGATATTTTTGATTGAATCTGAGGGCTGGATCACTCTTCCATAGACAGCCTGAGGGACTGCCTCTTGACGGCCCAGAAAGTCATTAAAAGAAAAGGTTTAAATATTCCATGTGCCTACAGTGGCTCAACTATAACTTTATCAAGCGACGAGACTACTTTTTGTGCGAAAAAAAAACGTAAATAACGACTTTATTCGACTTTCCATTACTTCCTTATGGGCGCATGCGCGAGAACTGAGACGAGGACGTTCTCATTCGTCTACTTTTTGTTACCGGCTGCTCACCGCTTAGGAGTTTTACCGCCCCCTACCGTATAAGATGACGTACTGATATAGCCGGAGGCGCAAAACGTTCTGTTTACAAGCAGTACGTCATCTTATACGGTAGGGGGCGGTAAAACTCCTAAGCGGTGAGCAGCCGGATGCGCCCATAAGGAAGTAATGGAAAGTCGAATAAAGTCGTTATTTACGTTTTTTTTTCGCACAAAAAGTAGTCTCGTCGCTTGATAAAGTTATAGTTGAGCCACTGTAGGCACATGGAATATTTAAACCTTTTCTTTTAATGACTTTCTGGGCCGTCAAGAGGCAGTCCCTCAGGCTGTCTATGGAAGAGTGATCCAGCTCTCAGATTCAATCAAAAATATCTTTATTTGTGTTCCAAAGATGAACGAAGGTCTTACGGGGTTGGTACAGCATGGGGGTGAGTAATTAATGACTTAATTTTCATTTTTGGGTGAACTAACCCTTTAAAGTCCCTCTGCGGCGAAAATCCAGCTTTTAAAGGGGTGATGAACTAAGAAATCAAATTTTCCTTGAGCTTTTGACATCTAAGAGGTCATCATATTATAAGAATATCCTGTAAGTTTCAGAACTGAAAACATCCTTGTTAGTCCAATAAAAGCTTTTATTGACACCAGCCCCAGCAAACGACTCGTTTTTAAAAGTGGGGAACTACGACGTCAAAGGGTTTAAAACACCACCCCCACAGAAGAAGATCAACACCTACTTCAACACTTAAACTTTATTTTTAATGACGTTCCAGCTGATGAGGGTAAAACCGTCTGTTCGCTTCATTTCACTGAGGATTGGATTTGAGGATTGGAAACAAGACTAGATTTGCAGAACGATTAAAGGGTTAGTTCACCCAAAAATGAAAATTAAGTCATTAATTACTCACCCCCATGCTGTACCAACCCCGTAAGACCTTCGTTCGTCTTCGGAACACAAATGAAGATATTTTTGATTAAATTTGAGAGCTGTATAACTACCACATTGGCTCCTAAGGGACTGCCTCTTGACGGCCCAGAAAGTCAATGAAGAAAATGTTTAAACATCCCAAGTGACTACCGTGGCTCAATGTTTATCAAGCGACGCGAATACTTTTTGTGCGAAAAACCAAACAAAAATAACAAGTTTATTCGACTATTTCTTTTCTTCCTTGTAGGCCAAAACGAGACTTCCTTAGATTTCCACGACGCATGCGCGAGAATTGCGATCTGAAGTGGTGTAAGCTGGTGTAAGCAGATCGCAATTCTCGCGCATGGGAATCTAAGGAAGTCTCGTTTTGGCCTACAAGGAAGAAAAGAAATAGTCGAATAAACTCGTTATTTTTGTTTGTTTTTTCGCACAAAAAGTATTCGCGTCGCTTGATAAACATATAGTTGAGCCACGGTAGTCACTTGGGATATTTAAACATTTTCTTCAT